TTGGCACATAAAAAGTGGGTAATAAGCTCCATAGTTCTATGGCATGTATTAATTACAGATTCCTGAATATTCAGTTTTGAAGGTTTGATGTTTGAAATATTGATAGTATAGCTGTAAATGATAAATGCCAAAGCACTACAGATGTTAGGTAAGATTTGGGCCAAAAGTAGAATGGGAGGGTGGATGGGTGTGTACATAAAAATTGAAACTATGCAACAGAAACAGCAAGGCATTGTTCTAGAACCTGAAAGTTCAAATTGACTAGAAACAAGTGATATACAAAAGTGAAACTTTCTAGCTTAATTTTCCAAGATGAAAGAAATACAAAAAGGAAACAAAACATAATTAGTAGAGAAAAAAAATTAAACATTATTTTTCATCTTTAATAATGAAGGGTCTTATTTGTAATGGGAATGGAAAGGTGACTTTAAAAAAAAGAATTAAGTAATTTAACAGTATGCATTCCTTTAATCTTGCTGAGTTTGATAGAAAAGTTGCTATGTCCATATGCTGAGCTGCAATTATTTTGTTTCTAAAATGCTATCCACGATAAATTTTTAAAATTAAAAATTCATATTTCCCCCCTATCCACAGCTGTTTGGTGACGTTTGTTTCCACTGTAATCGTGTGATTGAAGGAGATGGTAAGCATTTCTTAAATTGCATTTTTTTTATGTCACTTCAGTAGGAAGCACTTACTAAAAGAGGCACCAGGGAAAGGGAAGACTGGTGTTGAATCCCTTTCGAAATGCTGATTCCCATAATGCCTTTTTCTAAATTCTTCAGAGTTTCTGTGAGTGACATAAGAGTGTAAAATGGCAAGGCCCCAATCCCTTAGTGAGTTTTACACAGGCAGCTTCCTTTACCTGTGTGGAGCCCCACTGACTTTAATAGACCTCAATGCAAGTGCAATAATCCACATGCATGCACCTCATTACAGAATTAGGGCCTAAGGGCCTGATTTTAAAGGTATTTAGGTGCCTAAAGAGGCAGGTGCCTAGTGGGATTTTTAAAAACTCATAGACACCTAATTTCCATTATTTTAATGCAAATTAGGCAGCTAGGAGCTTTGAAATCCCACTAGGTTGCTATCTGCATCTCTAGGCACCTACATGTCTTATTAAAAAAAAATCTGGCCTTAAGTCTGTAGAAGTGAGGCTGTCACAAACACTGCCAAAGGATTAGCATTCAGCAAAACAATGCATCTATAAAAACAATCCAGGTGACCATTAATCTGGAGTGTGGCTGTTGACAACCAAGTGGGACAGGATGGTAGAGAAAGCAGATAATTTAATATGAGGCAACACAAAAGTTATACCAACCTTACAACACCTATCTGAACCAATACCATGTACCAGTAATAGCACCAGCTAAACCAAAACCAGTAATCAAGTGGGATAAGGCCCAGACACTTTAAAAGGACATCATGGATTATAATCATGACACTAAAGGATGAGTTCTAGATTCAAATGATGTGCTTTCCATATAGTTTCAGGACTACACTCTACCTATAAAACTACAATTTAGGATTAATGGACACAAATCTGACATCAGGAATCATAATAAACACCACCAAACCCACCCCCCCCCCCCCACAGTTTCCCGGAGGAGCCCCAGGCTGGCTGAAGCCCCGAGCCCCCCCCCCACACACACACCTGCCCGGAGCAGCCCCGGGCCAGCCACAGCCGTGCCTCCCCTCCCCAGACCCAAGCCACCCAGATGTGTTTTTCATTGTTATTTGGACTTCTATTATGTCAAAGCCCATTTTTAAATTTACTTCAGAATTGTTATACAGAGAGCCGCTTTTACCAAAAAAGCAAAAGAAATAATAATAAAAAAGACAAGAATGTGCAAAGCACATTATTTGTGTTTTTATTCCGTTAGGTCCAGTAAAGAATAGAGATAACTGTGCATGATTTTTATTATTGAGTCTGCAAAAAACCCCCAAAACCTTACATAAATAAATTACAATGATTTGGATGTATATATGTGCATATTACTTTATTAACTTTAGGAAAAATAAATAATTTTAGGAAAAAGTGTCAGTGCGGCCACCAGCAAGAGTTGGTGGCCGCACTCTGAGGCCATCAAAAAATTTGTTGCGAGAACCCCTGATCTATGGAGCAATACGTCAATTATCTATCTGATTAGGATGGTTCTGACAAACAGCAGAGTACCTTTCTTCAAAATGACACTTATTGGACAACTAGCACCCAGAAGTTGCAGAGAGAAGTGCTTGACCAAGGGTGACAGCTACTATAATTGAACATGACTACAGCTGTCTGGCAATAGTCAGTTTCATTCATAGTAGGCAGTTGGGTTGCCAACCTTCCCGGTTTCGCCGGGAGTCTCCTGGAATCAGACGCTATCTCCCAGAGGCTACTGCAGCCAAACTGGGAGATTTTGGCACTAAAAGTCCAGCGGCGCAGTGGGGCTAAGGCGGGCTCCCTGCCTGACCTGGCCCTGCGTCGCTCCTAAAAGTGGCCATCATGTTCCTGCGACCCCCTAGAGGGGGAGGGCCCTGAGGTCTCTGTGCGCTGTCCCCGCCCCGAGCGCTGACTCTGCAGCTCCCATTGGCTGAGAACTGCGGCCAATGGGAGCTGTGGGGGTGGCATTTGCTGGCACAGGCAGCACTTGGAGCTCTCTGCCTCCCTCCCCCGCAGCTGCAGGGGACGTGCCGGCTGCTTCTGGGAGTGGCACGGGGCCAGGGCAGGCAGGGAGCCTGCCTTAGCCCCGCTGTGCTACCTGGCCAGAGCCTGCACCCCTCACCCCCTCCTGCACCCCAGCCCTGAGCCCCCTCCTGCACCCAAACTCCCTCCCAGAGCCTGCACCCCGCACCCCCTCCTGCACCCCAGCCCTGAGCCCCCTCCTGCACCCAAACTCCCTCCCAGAGCCTGCACCCCGCACCCCCTCCTACACCCCAGCCCCAGGCTCAGCCAAACCCCTCTGCCCCAGCCCAGAGTCCATACCCCAACCCCTTGCCCCAGTCCAGTGAAAGTGAGTGAGGTGGGGGAGAGCAAGCGAAAGAGGGAGGGGGGAATGGAGTGAGTGGGGAGGGGCCTCGAGAAAGGGGCGAGGCAAAGGTGTTGGGGTTTGTGTGATTAAACAGTTGGCAATCCTAGTAGGCAACCTTGGGTGCATTTTTATAGTAGAGCTGCACTTGTTGACCTGAACTAAGAAGAGGAAATAGACCATTTTTTGGCAAGGGAAGAGGTGGAAAGTGTTAAGATCTTTATTTGAATGTTCAAATGGACCAACACCAGAATTCAGCCAAAGATTTCTTTATTAATCCAAAGACCAAATTGGCTTTTATATGGTTACTTTAAGCATGAGTTAGCTAAATTTAGCATGTACCCGTATAACAGCTGTCAATCATAAGTATTGATCAGATACTTACAACAGGATTAGGCCCGGGATGCTCAAACCCATATTGGCTGGCTTCAGCTAAACAAGCAGGCACTAGCACGTGGTCCCACCTATTCCCTTCCCTCTTTTATATCTTACAATAAACAGGCCTACATATCTGACATCACTGAGTTTTAGGTATTCACCTTTGTCAAAACTGGTTAGAACAGTGCTTGACCAGTTTGCTGGCAAATGCCCCGGGACTTGAAGGACTTCCCTCACAATATTTCACTCATCTCTATCATATCTGCAAATGTTAGAGGAACTTCTCCTCCTATGAATCATTCCTTGCTAACAAAGGCTCTATGTTTCATTTCTCTAAGTTTAGTTTCGTTTTTTCCTAATAAAGCATGCTTTAGGAGGTTTCATTTCTTAATTCTCAGCAACCCTATGTAAAGAAAGCAGGATGGAAAGAGATACAAAGGAAGAGGAAGTAGAGATTGACATGAACAAAGGGGGAAAGAAAGGCAACTTTGATTCAAGATCAAAATGGAGCTCTTCCAGAGCAGAGCTATCACAAAACAAAGAGTAGAACTAAATGTTAAGCATCTAAATGTTAAACACTGAAGTAATTTAGAGGCATCTATGCCTCCTACACAGCACTTACCTACAGTATACGTGTATGTGTGTCTCCTTACCCTCACTTCATTTTCATTATTATGGTGCCTAATTTTATCCCTAATTGAGAAATAGGTTTAAAAATAATCACCTTTTCCTGTACGTCTTATGAATGTGTAAATTTCAGAAGTTTTTAACAAATGCCTTTGTTTATTAAACTGCTAATACTGTCTTTTTCCCCCTCCCCCTAGTTGTCTCTGCTCTGAATAAGGCATGGTGTGTGAACTGTTTCGCTTGTTCCACTTGCAACACTAAGTTAACACTCAAGTAAGTTTATCAGATAGTTTAAGAAGATGGAAAACAGTTGTGATCTCTTCAGAACAGATCAATAGTCACCTTTCAAGCACAGCTGTTATAGTCATAGTTTAACTGTAATGGTATATAACCTTTATAGACAACTTCTTGTAAATGATATATGTATTCGTTCCTGTTGCTCCATTTACTACTTTAAAATCTATTTTTGCTTTGTGTTCAATTCTTCTTTCAGCTATGACTTATTCTTAAATCTTTTCCTGTTCTTTCCACTGTTTCCTCTGTGTCTTATCTAAAGGGATAAGTTTGTTGAAATTGATCTAAAACCTGTCTGCAAACACTGTTATGAGAAAATGCCAGAAGAATTTAAACGTCGACTTGCCAAACGGGAGCGAGACGCAAAGGATAAAGACAAGCTGAAAAAGAAAAAGCCAGTCTGTTTGTAAACTTTTCTTTTCCTCCTATCACCATCTCTGCTCCTTTCTTCTTTGGTCAGTGTTTAGGACATGTATTTTTCTTTTGGTTTTCTGCATGTGTTTGTGATAATCAAAGACAGAACAACTATTAATTTCCACATATCTATGATTTGAAATTTTGAATGCTACATTTTAATATGTTAAGTTTAGGCCATTGTGCTCTGAAATTGAGCTTGCAAAGTTTCTTAAACAGCAAAATTCATAAATTTTGGACTTCTCGGAGAAAAATTCGTACCTTGCTGAACAGACTGTTTTAGACTACCATATAGCTATGATTTCATTCCAGATTCCCAAATTTCATATCTTTTGTGCATATAGTTAATTACATATGCCAGTAGGCATTTGTGTGCATGCAGGCTGAATAGTTAGCTGTCCACCTGCCTACCTGCATGCTCAAATGCAGGATTATGCTTAGAAAACTTGGGGAATGCAGATTTAGAAGCTAGCTGTGAAAACCTGATAGTTTTGAAATTCCACTTTTAGTAAATGCTTTGTGCTTCCATTTTAACATCCCACAAAATAGTTTTGAAGCTAATATAAAATGTCAGTCCCTGAAAACAATATTGTATGCAGAATACATTTTCTTGTTTTACTAACATTAACATTAGTTAGTTAGTTTTTCACTAACATTAACATTTTGCTCCATTGTTAAATTACTGTAACACAACAGCACTCAATTAGACATATAACCATAATTCAGTAGCAGGGATGGGTGTATGCAAATCCACATATTCTTCTTTGAGTGCTTGCTAATGTCCATTCCATGGTAGGTGTGCGCGCGCCCGTGTGCGCAGCCGTTGGAGACTTTTGCCTTAGCGGTACCTGTAGGGCCAGCTGTGGTGCCCTCTGGAGTGCCGCCAGCCCTGCGCCTTCTCAGTTCCTTCTTACCGCCCATGGTGGTTAATCGGAGTGCCTCTGTCCCTTGCTTCGCAAGTGGTCAGTGGTTTTTCTTCATCTGTTTAGCCTTGTGCTTCTCTGTAAATAGTTTTAAGCGTTGTTAGTTAGTAGTTAAGTACCCGTTAAGTGTTTAGTTAGATAGTGTCCAAGCGGGAACTTCACCCCCGGAGGGCATGCAGGTTTCAAGCCCTGCTCATCCTGTAACAGGCCTATGCCTGTTAGTGACCCACAGAAGAGCTGTTTACAGTGCCTCTGGGAAACCCATATAAAGGAGCACTTATGTGCCAGTACTTTCATCCACAGAGTCAGAAGGAGCAGGACATCTGCCTCAGGGCCCTCTAGATGCAGGCTGCCCTGTGTCCAGCTTCGGAGCCAGTGTGGCCCGAACTGGCATCCAGCGCTTCAACTTCGGTGTGTAGCACACCTCCGACACCGGGGTCCTCCCAGCACCGATCCCCGTCACCAGTGCCAAAAAAGAAGCCTAAGAAGGCTGCACCAGCCAAGACCGACTAAGAGGCTCCGGGCAAGGGACTCTGTTCGCACCTTACGCCCACTCCAGACCCGTTGAAGGGTTCGGCCATGGGGGGGTTCCTCCCCCCAGAAAGGACCCGCCACTGACTCCAGTTCTACCCCTAAGAATAAAGAGGCGAAAAGACTGGACTTATTTGGCCGAAAGATTTTTTTCTATGGCTAGGCTCCAGTTTCGGGTGGCAAATCACCATGCCCTCTTGGGCCGCTACAATTTTAACTTGTGGGGCTCTCTCCTAAAGTTCATGTCCCAGGAAGCGGCCCAGGAATTCGCCACCCTGGTCAAGGAAGGGACCGCAGCTGCTCGGTCCTCTCTCCAGATGGCCTAGGATGCTGCCGATTCAGCTGCCCAAGTGGTCATTTCAGCGGTGATCATGCAGCGCAGCTCCAGGACCTTCCATTTGACGTTGTCAGCCTGTTTTCTGATCAAACGGATGCGCGTCTGCATGACTTACAGGACACAAAGGCAACCCTCCGCTCCTGGGGATGCACACGCCTCAGTCGTTTAGGCAGCCATTCCGGCCTCCCCACCTCCTAGGCAGTGGCAGCCTCAGCAGGGACCTAGAAGGAAAAGGGACACTGGGTTCAACCGCTGCTGCCCTTCATCATCCCAATCTCCTGCGCGGCCTGGTCTGGCAAAACACCAGGGGGCCAGAAGAGTTCATTTTGAGGGTGCGCTTGGGAGCGACGCACTAGCCAACTGCTCGGATCCTTCCTGCCCTTTTCTTGACCGCCTTTTCTCTGACCACTTGGCCTGGTCGCGGGTTATCTCAGACCGTTGGGTCCTGGACATAGTGGCTTGGGGCTACACCCTGCAATTTTTGGCCGCCCCATGTTCTGCGTGTACACACACAAGCTCCTCGTTCAGGAGGTTGAGAACCTCCTACGCCTGGGGGCTGTGGAGGAGCTTCCTCGGGATATGCAAGGAAGAGGATTCTACTCCCGCTACTTCCTAATCCCAAAGGCAAATGGGAGGTTCAGATCCATCCTGGACCTACGGGGCCTCAACAAGTCTTTGCTGAAGTTCCACATGGTATCCCTGGCTTCCATCATCCCTTCTCTGGGTCCGGGGGTCTGGTACGCTGCTCTCGACTTAAAAGATGCCTACTTTCATGTCTCTATCTTCCCGGGGCACAGACGTTTCCTGCACTTTATAGTGGCAGGGCGCCAGTTCCAGTTTATGGCGCTGCCCTTTGGCCTGTCCTCAGCCCCCAGGGTCTTCACAAAATGCATGGCGTTGGTGGTGGCTTACCTGAGGTGTCGAGGGGTTCAGATCGTCCCATATCTCGACAACCGGCTCAACAAGCGCAGGTCTTAAGAGGAGGTCCAGAGGAGCCTCGATCTTGTGCGCTCCACCTGCAGCGACTTGGGTCTCCTAATAAACACAGAAAAATCCACATTAGCACCGGTTCAACGCATAGAGTTCATCTGTGCGGTTCTCGACTCCAGGCGGGCCAGGGCATTCCTGCCAGAAGCGCGTTTTCAAGCCATGTCAAACCTGATCGCCCACATACAGAGCCAACCGCTCACCACGGCCCACACGTGCCTGCATCTGATGGGCCACATGCACCTACGTCGTAAGCCACGCCTGGCTTCATCTGTGGCCCTACAAATGTAGCTGGCCTCAATCTACATTCCCAGCAGGCATCCCCTGGACCGAGTGGTCACAGTGCCGAGTCATGTCCTCTCACCGCTCAACTGGTGGCAGGATCCAAGTTGGCGCTGCGGGGAGTCCCTTTCGTAACCCCGTCACCCTTGCTCACCTTGGTCTGGGGGGCTGTTGGCTGCAACACGACCTAGCCCTTCATATCAATGTCAGGGAACTCAGAGCGGTTCACCTGGCATGCCAGGCTTTCCTGCCCCACCTGGAAGGCAAGGTGGTGCAGGTCCTGACAGACAATACTGCCGCAATGTACTACATGAACAGGCAAAGTGGCGCCAGGTCTTCAGCCCTCTTTCAGGAAGCGCTCAGCCTTTGGGACTTTTGTGAGCAGCAGGACATTCATTTGGTGGCCGCCCACCTGCCCGGTACCAAGAACATCCTGGCGGATCGCCTAAGCAGGAGTTTCTCGTCTCACCATGAATGGCCGCTCAATCTGGAGGTGGTCAACCTGATCTTCCGACGGTGGGGGACGCCCCAGGTGCACCTTTTCACGTCCAGACAGAACAGGAAGTGCCACATGTTCTGTTCTCTGCCGGGCAGGGACAAGGGCTCCCTGTCAGACGCCTTCCTGATCCCATGGTCGGGAGCACTCATGTACGCCTTCCTGCCGGTGCCGCTGATCCACAAGGTCCTGCTCAAGGTGAAGCAAGACAAAGCTTCAGTCATCCTCATAGCCCCGGCATGACCTCTCAGCACTGGTTTGCCTTGCTCCTGAGCCTTTCAGCAGCCACCCTGTTACAGCTGCCTCTTTGGCCAGATCTACTGTCCCACAACCATGGCAATCTGCTACACCCGAACATGGCGGTGCTGCACCTGATGGCATGGTTTCTGCAGGGAGGAGCGGCAGTGTTCTGCCAGTGTCCAGCAGGTCTTGCTGAGTAGCAGTAAGCCCCCCACCAGGGCTACCTATGTATTGAAATGGAATCAGTTCACGTGTTGAGCCACGGCTTGCCATATCTGGGTTGGAGGAGGCCCACCTGCAGGATGTCCTGGACTATTTACTATACCTGACGCTCCAGGACCTGTTGCTGTCCTCGATCAAAGTGCACCTGGCAGCCATTTCGACTTTCCACCCTCCGTTTCAAGGTAGGTCGGTCTTTGCCCATCCCATGACAGCCCAGTTTCTGAAAGGTCTGGAGTGCCTTTACCCGCATGTCCAAGACCCGGTCCCTCCTTGGGACCCGAACCTTGTGCTCTCCAGGCTCACAGGGCCCCCCTTTGAGCTCCTGGCTTCCTGATCCCTTCTGCTGTTATCCTGGAATGTCTCCTTTTTGGTCGCTATAACTTCATCCTGTAGAGTGTCTGAGATCAGGGCGCTCACGTCCAAGCTTCTACATATACGATCTTCTATAAGGGCAAGTCCAGCTGCGTCTGCTCCTGGCCTTTCTGCCCAAGGTCGTCTCTCAGTTCCACGCGAGTCAGGACATATATCTTCCAGTCCTTTGCCCTAAGCCTCATGCGAGGGATGAGGAACGCAGGCTGCACACCTTGGACATTAGGGGAGCTCTGGCCTTCTACATAGAATGAAGCCATTCCGTAAGTCTCCGCAGCTGTTTGTTGCTGTCGCAGACCAGATGAAGGGTTTTCCAGTGTCCACCCAGAGGATCTTGTCCTGGATCACAGCTTGTATCTGCTACTGCTATGAGCTGGTGATGGCCCACTCCACTCCACTCAGGCGCAGGCGGCGGCGGCGGCCTTCCTCACTCAGGTGCCAATCCAGGAAATTTGCCATGCCGCAACCTGGTCGTCCGTCCACACATTTGCCTCGCACTATGCGCTGATCCAGCAGGCTCAGGCTGATGCTTGTTTTGGCAGAGCAGTACTACAATCTGCAAGATTGTGAACTTCAAGCCCACCTCCTGGGATTCTGCCTATAAGTCACCTACAATGGAATCGACATGAGCAAGCACTCAACAAAGAAAAAATGGTTACCTCCACCTTTTTGTAACGGTTGTTCTTCAAGATGTGTTGCTCATGTCCATTCCATTACCCGCCCTCCTGCCCCTCTGTTGGAGTTGTCGGCAAGAAGGAACTGGCGGCGCCTGATATACCATGCCATGAGTGCGGCACTCTAGAGGGTGCCACAGCCGGCCCTACGGGTACCACTAAAGCAAAAGTTTCCGACGGCAGCACACGTGTGCATGTGCACACCTACAATGGAATGGACATGAGCAATGCATCTCGAAGAACAACTGTTACGAAAAGGTGGGTAACCGTTTTTTGCAAACTCTGTCAAGATGCCCTTTGAATAGTAATTGACTTGTTTCTTACAGTTTATAAAGAGTTTATATTTTGTTTTTTGGAGTTCTCCAAAAGTTCTTTATAGTGAGAAGGTTTTTGATTTTTTTTAAATAAATTTTATAATTCAGATTGGACTGAGTCTCCTCTTACAATCCATCATATTGCTGCAAAGTGACATTTAAATTAACAGCTCAGGGAATCCCATTGGAGATCAGAAAATCATGTCCAATATGGATTGATAAACAGAAGAGTTTTTTACTGTTTAGTTATTGAAAAGACTTGTTAAAATATCAGACACAGTCAACTTGAAGATTACATTTCCATCTGAAAATTTAGTATGTATTGTTTTAAGTAACTCGAGATTACTACAATTGAAGGAAATTAAATAGCATTTTATTTTTCTGGTTTTTGTTTGATTATTGTGCATTTGATAGCAGTTTGTGTTTTGTAGATACAGTGGCACTTCCTGTCTCGTGGGCAAACTGGCTCATAACTGCCGTCTGTAGGGATTTTTCCATTTTCCTCTGAAGCAGCTAGTACTCGCAACTGTCAGAGACAGTATAATTATATATGGCCACTGCTCTGATCCAGTATGGAAATTCATAGCATCTTCTAAATAAAAGTCCTTGCCTATACCCACATCAGATATCTGTACGTCCGTAATGCTGGTGTCCACAGACTTCTGAAAATATAGTGTGTATCTTTACTGTTAGGTTTACAATTCAGTGGTTGCACAACATACAGTATTGCATAAAACAATTTTCCTCAGTATCCAAAAGTTCTCTATTTTTTTTTCTGTTTTCCTGTACAGTTGTTTCTTTCACTTCCGCTATTTACTTTCATGTCTCTTTCACATAAATATTGACTATATGTGCAATGACTGGCCATCTCAATCTTTCAAAACTCAAATCTGTCACCTTTAGCAAATTCACCTGTACTTAACCTGCCAGGGTTAAAAAAATAAAAATAAAAAGTCTCTCCTGAATTTGGGTTTTCCTTCCTGAATGTTGGCACCCAGTGACAAAGCTGGGCATTGCGAATAACAAATATAATTGTATGTATCCTAAAAAAATAGATTCAAGTATACATCTACATTTGCTGTATTGCTATATCATTTATAATCTTAGCTCCATGTATATATTGAGCAAAATACTGAAAAAGCATTATTTTGCTGCCTGTACTATGTCAATATGGCATGCTTCAAATACTCTTTGAAATCTCTTTCACTAAAGATATTTTTCCTTTTATATCATTTGTAGGAACAAATTTGTTGAATTTGATATGAAGCCTGTCTGCAAGAAATGCTATGAGAAGTTTCCTTTGGAGCTGAAGAAAAGATTGAAGAAACTAGCTGAAACTTTAGGGAGGAAGTAAAGCCTCCTTCTAATCTCATCTTCCTGTGCAAAAAGAGAAAATATTACAGATATTACTTGACTTTTATTTTATTTTTCTTTGAGGCTGCAACCAGCAATACATAAGCAAAGAAAATGAGTTTCCTTGATGCATGACTAGCTTCATACTAAAGTACTTTCCTCTTATCTCCCACAAAACATGCATCTAAAAACCCTCTACATTTTATATAAACCTCATTACTAGCAAAAACAAAATATATCTTCAATTCTGTATTTGATATTTACATGTATACATATTTGTTGATATGTAGATTGTACTCGCATAGTAAATTGCAGATACAAATTCATGTTAAACTCTTATGGCTCTAGTACTGCAGTTGGATCTGCCTTGTGCCCACTGATATCAGTGGGATTCTGTGCAGACATAAGATCTGCTTGTGCATATCCTGCAAGGACTTAACAGACAAGCCTAGCTTTCTGTACACAAATAGTGCCGTTGAAGTTAATGGTAATACTCGTGCAGAGAATTAAGCATGTTTGTAAGTCTTTAAATGACTGTAGCATCACTTTTTATGGAACTACTCATTTTTAGATTCAGATCCAAGTAGTCATTATGAAGCCTTATTTTAAATGTCTCTGAAGAAAGTCAAACTTCTAAGTACAACCACTGCAAAAGTGTAGTGCCTTTAATAGATAATTCTTACATAATTAATCTTTGTATATCAGACTTAAAAGTTGTAATGGAAATATAGAAAACATATTCCTGTTGCAAGAAATATGCATATTCAGAGCTACCTGAATTTTGCTATGTTCCGTTTAAAATAATCCAATAACATTCATGAGTGTTTTTGTATTTTACTTACTTTTTGTGCCTTATTCTTCTGTATCTTTCACAATAGTATTCAAAAAAATTGATGCATTAAATATATATACAGTTTTATTTTTATTTTATATTTTTATGCAGAAAATGTATACCAGGTATTATAAGAGATAATATGCTTTAACTACTTCAACTCTATAGGACGTATGAAGTTTGTTTGTTTGTTTGTTTTCCAAATATTGAGAACACCTGAATTTTAAAAAATACATCATGTTGCTTCTAGGCTGAATTAATTTTTTAATAGTACATGAAATAATTCTCTTTCATCTCTGACTGTTACTTTTACACCAGTGAGTATATATATAAATGGTCTATCCTGGAAGGTGCTGAGCACCTTCAGCTTCCATGTCAGCCTTGAAGGACTGGGTCCAACCTGATTAGAATTCCCTATAACATACTTTTAAGTCTTATGCTATTCATTTGTATTCATAAAGAATCTAGGGGTTTTTTCCCTTCCTTTATAAAAGTGCAGTTGTATGACAAACTTGTTTAACAAAATTAATAAATCTTTTTTTCCTTTACTATAGCAACCTAAACAGATTGTATAGGATTATATTCTACCAACTAAAGTCTCATTTCATATCTTGAAGAAAAAATATCCCTTAGTTGGTTTAAATGCT